ATCAGAACCTGGTCTCTGGAACCCCCACAGGCTCTGTCACACAGCGGACCCCCGCTGGAAACAGCTGCTCTGAGCCGCAGTAACTCGGCCTTTGGGGCGGTTTTACGCTCAGTTTGACCTGGGGGGGTTAGGGTTAGGGTTAGGGTTAAGTCCTGGGAAAAGCTGCCACTCACTCACGGCTCCCACGGCGATGACCAGAACCAGGAGGACCACAGCAGTCAGGCCCGGAACCAGCCAGCGTCTGAGCCTGGAGGGACCCCGGAACGCCATCGGGCCGGGCTCTGAGAGACAGGGGTTAGAGGTAGGGGTAGGGGTTAGGGTTAGGGGTTAGGGGTAGGGTCAGGGGTAGGGTCAGGGGTAAGGGTTAGGGCTCAGGGGTAGGGGTTAGGGATAGGGGTAGGGGTTAGGGTAAGGGGTCAGGGGTAGGGGTTAGGGCTCAGGGGTAGGGTCAGGGTTTGGGGTAGGGGTTAGGGGAAGGGGGACAGGTGTAGGGTCAGGCTTAGGGGTAAGGTCAGGGTTAGCGGTATGGTTAGGGTTATGGTTAGGGTTAGGGTCACGGGTGAGGGTTAGGGTTAGGGACAGGGTTACGGTTTGGGATACGGTCACTGTTACGGTAAGGGTTAGGGTTAAAGTTAGGGTTACTGTTTGGGTTACGGTTAGGGTTACGGTTAGGGTTAGGGTTACGGTTAGGGTTACGGTTAGGGTTAGGGTTAGCGGTAGGATTAGGGTTAGCAGTAGGGTTTGGGTCAGGGTTAGGGTTGCTGTAGGGTTAGGGTCAGGGGTAGAGGTAGGGATAGGGTTACGGTTAGGGTTACGGTTAGGGTTAGGATCAGGGTTAGGGTTCGGATTAGGGTTAGCGGTAGGGTCAGGGTTAGGGTTACGGTTAGGGTTAGGGTTAGGGGTAGGGGTAGGTTTAGCAGTAGGGTTACGGTCAGGGGTAGGTTTAGCGTTAGGGTCAGGGTTAGCCCTACCTTTGTTCCAGAAGGAGGTGTTGTCGTCCCCGGCCTCGTCGTGGTTAGGGTTAGGGTTAGGGTTAGAGTTACGGTTACGGTTAGGGTTTGGGTCAGGATTAGAGTTAGCGGTAGGGTTAGGGCTAGGGTTAGGGTTAGGGTTAGGGTCTGGGTTAGCCCTACCTTTGTTCCAGAAGGAGGTGTTGTCGTCCCCGGCCTCGTCGTGGTTAGGGTTAGGGTTAGGGTTAGAGTTACGGTTACGGTTAGGGTTTGGGTCAGGATTAGGGTTAGCGGTAGGGTCAGGGTTAGGGTTAGGGCTAGGGTTAGAGGGTTAAGATTTGGGTCAGGGTTACGGTTTGGGTTACGGTTAGGGTCAGGGACAGGGTCTGCCCTACCTTTGTTCCAGAAGGAGGTGTTGTCGTCCCCGGCCTCGTCGTGGTTAGGGTTAGGGTTTGGGTTAGAGTTATGGTTACGGTTACGGTTAGGGTTTGGGTCAGGATTAGGGTTAGCGGTAGGGTCAGGGTTAGGGTTAGGGTTAGGGTTAGGGTCGGCCCTACCTTTGTTCCAGAAGGAGGTGTTGTCGTCCCCGGCCTCGTCGTGGTTAGGGTTAGGGTTAGGGTTAGGGTTAGGGACAGGGTTAGGGTTATGGTTATGGTTAGGGTTAGGGTTAGGGTTAGGGTTAGGGACAGGGTTAGGGTTAGGGTTAGGGTTAGGGTCGGCCCTACCTTTGTTC